TAATGAAAGAGAGAAGGCGCGGTCCTCTCTTTTGGAGGTCGGGGTCGTGGCGGGGCGCTGAGGGCGGTCCCTTTAAATATCAACTTTTGCAACTACTTTCCATGAGTCATGTGGCAGTGCTTCACGGGGGTCGCGAGAGGGAGAGGGGCCTTGGCTTGGCCGCGGCTCGGTGACACCCGCACCCGCAGCGCGCCAACCGCGGAACAAGGGCGCGCGCCCCGACTTCACTCTTCATTTTTGAGACACAAACTTAGACTAAATTATGATACAAGAATGAATTGAAAAAAACAGCTTCTGATTTACGTAAACGAGCTGAGCAATTAATCAATTTTTAGTGAATTAAGTAAATTCCTTCATTTTTTGATGAAATATAAGCGAATACAGCAGCTGTTTTTTCCAAACATCCGACATTGAGGAGAAAACACTCTTGTCATACTGGACCATACCGCCGGCACGCGCCAGGCGATGCGGCGGCCCCCCTCCCTTCGCACACTGGACTTCCCCCACTATGAAAAAAGTCGTAGGTTTACGGGAAAATTTCCCATGGGGTGTCGTAAAATTACAATTTGAAATTATAAATTTACAAGCACTTCGTATCAACTTTGAATTGATCGACGAGCAAGAATGGACTGTACCGAATTTACAACATGTTTTGTAAATAAAAATTACAACAAATGTTGTAAATTTTCGAGGATATTTTTCACAGTGCCGGCGGTACATGCCACATGAGTCGTGGGCCTTAAGGTTAGCCTCTACCTCATGCAGGCATGCTCATCACCTTGAAAAAGGAACGGCCTGCACTGACCTTCCAGGTGGCGGCGTTGCGGCGGAAGTAGCAGAACGTGTTCTGGAACCAGTTGTAAATCTCGTTCAGCGTCAGCTGCTTGTCGGGAGACTCGATAATGGCCTGCAACACAAGAGAAAGTAAAGGGGCTGAACCAGAGTGAGAAGAGTGTGGACGGGGGTTGGCGAGCACTAGCGTCGTCGGCGACGTAGTGGTGTTAAGACACACGTGAGGAGGAAGAGGAGGATCAGGACGAGGAGGAGGAAGAGGAGGAGAAGTAAGGAAGAGGAGAAGAGGGAGAAGAAGGAGGAGTAGGAATGGGGATGAGGACGGGGATCCCTCGTCCAGACAGAGAAGCGGCGGTACTGGAGGGGTTCGATCCAGTAGAGATATGGAGCGCGGGTTACAGGAAAAGGGGGAAAAGGGCGCGGGGGGTTGTAGGACGGTTACGGAGATGACTTGGACCGACAACCATCGCGGTGGATTGACGCGGGGGTCGGATCCATCGTTGGAGAGTGGGGAGGGGGCGGGCTGACTTTAGGGGGTTCAAAGGCGCGCATGTGCGTGTGTGTGTGCGTGTTTGTGTTGTGTACACGTAAACAAAGGCACAAATACCCCCCCCCCCTTCCCCTCCTCAACTCGGCTTCGGTCGGAGCGTCGATGTGGTGTTTTCCCGCATGTGCCAATATATTGGCCCCAGCGTACACCCCCCCCCCCCTCTCTCTCTCCCGTCAGCGGCGGTGACGCGTCCCGGGAGAGGAGCGGCGGGCTGTCCGCGGCGCCCTCCGCAGGTGAACCGCGAGATAGGCGCAATTTATATCGAGTTCACCCCGCGCCGCACCACAGGGGACAAGGCTCAGCAGAGCAGTCTCTCTCTCTCTCCCTCTCTCCCTCTCTCTCTCTCTATACTTTCCCCCTTCCTCAAAGATGCTTTGAGCCTTGACATATTCGCCGTCTTAAGTCGCGCGGTGGAAAACCATCACACGCGTGTCGTTGCCGCTATGGGAAGGGGTCCCTTAAGCCAAGAGGAGGGGAGGGGGGGGGGGGAGCCTCCCGCGGGCGGCGAGCGGCCTGCTGTCCGCATGAAGCGAACCCTCAACATCCCCCCTCTCCCCTGCCCCGGAGGCCCACGCAGCCAGCTGGTTGGCCATCGCATTATTTGCATAAGGAGGCTCATTTCCCGCTGTTTATTAGCGCCAAAGTTTCCCTATGAATCTAATTAGGTGCTTCATTTGCCATAGACCAGCCCGGCCAGGCCCGGCGGCCCTGCCGATCGCCCGAGGTTGAGAAGGGTGAGGGGTAGGGCGCAGAGCGGGTGTACTAGGGACGGAGGAGGGGAGGAGGGGAGGGTAGCGCGGGGTTAGTAGGAACTAAGAAGGAGGAGGATTTAAGGCTAGCGGCTGAACGGCGGACGCCACTGAGAAAGAAGCGAGGAGGAAGAGAGAGAGGGAGGGAAGGAGGGAGAGAGGGCACTGTATCGAACACAAAGGGCGAGCCCTTGGCGCTGCACAATCAAATATTGCGCTGAATTCTGAATGAGCTGGGGGCGAGAACAGGCGAGGCAAAGACACACCGCAGCCCGCGCGCCGCCGCCGCCGCCACCTGCATCTTGCCGCTCCCCTCCCCGCCGTCCTCGTGGCCGCCCCTGCCTGCGCCCTACCCGCGCCCTGCCCGCGCTCTCCTCCGCCCGGCTCCGCGGCGCAGTGTCAACACCCATAAAGTTTGATTTAGTGGTCCTGCTGCTGCCGCCGAGGCACTCGCGGACACTGCAACCCCCGGGCATAATGACCATGGGGGTAGAAAAAAATGGGGCGCCCGCCGCAAAAGCACGTCCACTAGAGAGGGTGCCCCTCACACAGCAGAGCCGTTCACTGGAGACGTTTAGGGCGTAAATTCTTTCCGTCACAATTTTGTGAAGATATTTTCTAAATCCTTAAAGTTTTGGGTCCCAATGCTGCTCTTTTTCATTGACTTCGAATTTATTTTTGAAACTAAGGTTTACGTCTTTATATGGTTGGCGCCGCGCAGAGATGACGATGACGACGGCCTAAACTTTACTCTGTCGGCCCGTTTCCTAATCACGACTGCTGTACCCGCTGCTGGTCACAAGGTCCTAGTGGGCGCCGCCGCGCTGCTCCGCTGCGGTTCGTAGACTTGTCTTGAATAATCCCCTGCTACGTCGTTCGTTTTTTTCCCCATCGCCGCAGCAGAACCCGGCCGCCCTACCGCACCCCCTGCTCCACCCCCTCTCTTCGCCTAGCTTCGACATACCGCCATTATTCTCGCTTTTATTCCATACCGCGTGTCCGACCAGGGAAGGCGCCGCAGCGTCTTTCCTTATTCACTGCCCTCCCGCGCTCCCCCCTCGTCCCCACCCTCTCTCCTCTCGGTGACAGCACGACAATAGCCGCTCTAACGACAGGCGCGCCCCTTCACCTTCCGCCTCCCCCCCCCCCTCTTCCCCCTCACCGCACCGTGTACATTGCGGGATGCAAAACCCATGTCTTTATCGTCCGATCGCTGGCCTGGCGGCCCCATAGCCCCCGCTCCGCCCCGCGCGTCCCGTCCGACCGGACATTGAGTTATGGGGCCGTCCGTCCTCCGGAGCCGCCGTCCCGTCCGGAAAAGGAAAGGAAGCCTCGAGCTTTAAAACTCCCGCCGCCGATATCAGCCCCCTGGCCGCCGCAGAGCTGCACCCCCCGTCGCCTTCACCACCGCAGCCCCCGATCTCCAAGTAGAGTCTCCGGCTCCGGTTGCGCCGCTTGTTGTTCCCCTGCGCTGACGTTTCGAAAGGGTCAGCTCGTCAGCTCTCCGGAGACAAGCGATGCTCCAGCGACTGACGCGCTGATCCCGCCCCTCATTTTCCCCTCCACGGGCCCCTTATTATTTTTATTTCCCGCGGGCCGGCACGGCGGCCCCCGCAAACATCAACACCTCGACAACTATTTTCGCAGGGTGCCTGCCGCCGCCCTCTCCTCGCGGATCCCGCGCTTATATCACGGGTAAATATTTTGTCGCGGTGGTGTTGGCTGCGCGGGCTGCTGCGCCCCACCGCGCCCCGCCTCGCCCCGCCCCACCCCACCCCGCCCGTGGGGGTGGCGTCTCTGCTGCTGGGCTTGTTTGTTTTCTGCGTTATGAAGTTGTGTTCATTTGATGCCGCGCTACTTTCGGCCGAGGACCCAGAGGGAAAAGCGGGAGAGAAAGAGAGACAGAGAGAGGGGGGTAGAGAGAAAGGAAAAGAGAAGGTAAAGAGGAGTGGCGGTCTTGAGGAATCGAGTCCTACTCCCCACTTTCTCATCAAGACACAAGACACCACGAGACGCAAAGATAAGAGCCGCACGGCTAGAGCTCGACACTCACCTGCCTGATCAGAGACGCGTACGTGAACGGTGGTCGAACGTCAGCGGATTTGTAAAACTCTCTGTTCCGTTGAATCTCTGTAACAAACATACAAAATCAAAATAATCAAAACCAAATGAACTTTTTATTCGAGAACGAAGGCCTTTGGAAGGGTTTAAGTTAAGAGCCACAAAACATGGCGTACAATTAGGAGATGCACATAGTCATTTCAAAGAAGCAACGCTATTGATCATACGGCGTTACTCGTTTCTTCGTTTTCGTCTAAGCGCTACGACACACATTGGACTACAGTGTTGCCTCTATTGCCTACCTTGCTGCACGTCCAGCCCAGCTCTCTCCAGCATGTATGGCAGACCTTCGGGACAGGCGAGCCAAAAAGGGTTAGTCAGCCGTGTGTCGACAGAAACTACACACACACTGGAAATCCAAGTGTACGAATGTCGCTCACCTGCAGGTGAGCGACATTCGTACACTTGGATTTCCAGTGCAGGGTGTTGCAGAAGGAGAACCGGAGAGTCACTGAGAGTTTGTAAGGCTCGAGAGAAGAGGACATCAGGGAGGAGTAGAGACCGGGGAAGAAAAGAAGAAGGGGGTGGGGGAGAGATGCTACTATACTTCCCGCAACATTTTTACAGTCCCGAGGCCTACAGAGCTGCCCGCGTCTGCTGTTGCGGCAACCATTCTATCTGCAGTAAAAAGAGGCGTTCACCTCACTGGGGGCAGCTAACGCCCGCTGGCCGGTTCAGCGAAGCGGTACAGGTGCACCCCCAGGCAAGGGGCACTTCACACAAAAAAAAATCAGTGTACACCCTCCAAAACATCCAAAAAAAATTTTGAAAAAATAGGAAAAATCGAGAAAAAATCAAGAAAAATCAAGAAAAAAATCAAGAAAACTCAAGAAAAATCAGAAAATAATAATAATTATGAAAAGACAAAACAATTGATGTATGCGTGTGGAGATGTGCCCCTCGCCTCTAGGCCACCCCTCCGTCCCGCTCCTTGTCTCTCTGCCAACCTCTCCATCCTCCTTACCTCCGCTGAGCGAGAGCGCACATTTGTCCGAGAGTCGCCGGCGCAGCGGGCCGGAGTTGGGCGGCGGGGGGCCGTGGGGCGACCCGTGCGCCAGTCCGTGCGGGGGCCCTCCCTTCGCCGGGGCGTGGCCGGCGTGCGCCGCGTGGCCCATAGGCCCCAGGACCAGCCCTGGAGGCAGGGGCAGTGGCGGCAACGGCGGGGGCGGCGGCGGTGGTGACAGAGGCACCTGAAACAAGCAGCACGAAATTCCAACACTGTTAAAAAACAACAACTCAGAACTCGCCGTGACCCAGAGCTCTTCGTGGTTTTTGGGGGGAATCACAACTCTTCTGCGTTATCAAAAATTAATTAACTTCAGAAATTACATGACTGATTCAACAACAACAAATTGAAATAGCGAAATGCTCGATATTCGACGACACATAAGTGATGGGAATTCACAGAGTTGCATCGTATCGAGCGAAGTAATAGGAAATCAGGATATGTTTTTGACAGTAAGCGAGTACTTTAAACAGAGAAAAGGGTGTCAGTTTTCAATGTTTTTCAGTTTCTATTTTGCCAAGCCTTTGGTGTTTTCCAGTTTTTAGGTCTTTTGACTCCAATATTTATTTTTTTCAGGTGCGTCCTCACCGTGGCGGGCTCTTGCTTGGGCGACACCCTTCCGGGGGACCCGCTGCCGCTGCCGTTGCTGCCGTGGTGGTGGTGATGGTGGTTGTTGTTGCTGCTGCTGCTGTTGTTGTTATTGTTGAGCTGCGCCTGCAGGTGGTCGTGGTAGGCCTGCTGCTTCGACAGGTGCAGGTGCAGCATCATGGCCTGCAGCCGGTCGCGCTCGCGCAGCAGCTGCAGCTCCAGCTGCGACACCACCTGCATCTGCACGCGCGCCTGCGCCGTGGACCGGTCGTCCAGCGCGTGCTCGAGCGCCAGGTGTCTGCAACAGAGCAAGAGCACAAAGGTTCAAGCACCGCGGCCAAAAGAGTCACATCCCCCTTTTTTTTTCGTCGCGCTCCCCCTGAACCACAACAGCCTCCGCGGTCGCCTGGACCCGGAGCCACGCCCGCGGCGGCTGTCCGACGCTATTATGTTGCACGCTAGACGCGCTCCAAAACTTTCGCAAATGGCTTCTTAACTTTTTAAACTGTTAATGGCTGCCCTCATAAGGCGATAGCGGCAGCACCACCACCGCGAGGCCCGGGCAGGGGAGCGGGTGGGGCACCAGAAGCCGTCGGGGAGGGAAAGGGGTTGTGTCACGGGACGGGCATGTCGTGTCGTACAATAGCAATAAACCCGAGTAAAGTACGGCTCGCACAACAAACCACGAGGAAAACAGTTGTTATACGCGATTTAAAACACAAGAACAAAAAAACAAGTGAAAGGCACGCCCCTGTGGCAAGAATTGCAGGAAAGAAGACAGATCCTCGCAACTTCCTGTTGCGCGAGAGCGGTACGCTGGTGAATCAAAAGTTTAAATCGGTCAACACTGTAACAAAAACGATTGTTGTTAACCTTAAGGTTTCTCAAAGACCTAAAAATGCTCCTGACAGAAGAGTTACAAACTGGACACTGTAGGACAAGGTTGTAAGTAAGGAAATTTCGCACTCGTGTGATAATATCATAGGAAGCTGAGTGGCCGGGGAGCCCAAGGAACAAGCCACCGCCAGGGGTGCGTCTCTCTCTCTCTCTCTCTCTCTCCCTCTCCCTCCCTCTCTCTCTCTCTCTCTCTCTCTCTCTCTCCCTCCCTTTCCTCTCTCTCGAGCGGCCGGGGATGATAGAGAGCCTCTGGACGGGGGCAGAAGATGAACGGATCCGTGTCGAATTTTGTTTCTGTTTGTTTGATTAATTGTTGGACACGGTGTTTGCCGCGCGCGCCACCTCTGTTTGCACTGGAGGATGATTGGAGAGGAAGGGGAAAGGAGCGAGAGAGAGAGAGAGAGAGAGAGAGAGAGAGAGAGAGAGAGAGAGAGAGAGAGCACAACTAAAGGGGTAAAAATCGAAGATAATGGAGAGGAGGTTTGGCGCGCCCGCCCCGCCCGGGGCCTACAATAACAACACGATCCGGCCTTTGTTCTATCAATTTGGAAGGCAAGGGGATAAAATGGAAACGCCGGCCATCCCGCACGCGAGAGAAAAAGACGAAAAGAGTTAAATGAAAAAAAACACGAGGTGAAACATAAATCGATTATCGTCCAGCGATGGCTTACTGACGGGTGACAATAGCTCGAGGGGCTGGTGGGTGAGAGGGGAGGGAAAGAGGAAGAGAGAGAAATATTGAGGATGGGGGTTAACCGGTAGGGAACAGCGCCGACACGGCGGCACGGCGTACGACGTACACTAATGTCAAGAGGACTGTCCCTCCGCCTCCACGTCTCGGGGTCAAACCACAACTTGTTCGTGAGCCCTTTGCCTCTATTGCCCCCCCCCTATCTCTCTCTCTCTCTCCCTCTCCCATTTTCTCTCTCTGTCTCCCTCTCCCCCCCCCCCTCTCTCTCTCTCTTTCTCTCCTACTCTCTCTCTCCCCCCTTTCTCTCCCCTTCTCTCTCTCTCCCTCCCTCCCTCTCCCGCTCTCTGATCTCTCTCACTTCTCTTTTCTGTCCCTGCAATTAGATGGCGGCAAAGTGATTGGAAAAGTTTCCCCAGCGGCGCACGGCCACATCGGGGCGGGGTGGCACAGCTCCGCTGCGGATGCCATGCGATTCAGGGCCGCACGGGGCGGCCCCCCTCTGTGACAGCCCAAAGCACGACCGCACCCTTTTATTCATAACCCTGTCTTCTGGACGCGTCAGGTGCCGGGCGCCGGCACCGGTCCTCTCTTCTGCCACCGACTTAAATATGAATCGAGTAAAGCGCGTCTCACTTCCGAGATTACCTGCGGGCTACGGGGCGCCAGGAGTTTACAAGATGTCTCCTCCCTTTTAAGGAGATTTCCCGAGATTTCAACTTTAATTTACAAAGCACACCGGGAATCCAAGTGTGTGAATGTCGCACACTTGTAGGTGTATGAATTTCCAGTCGTCACTTGAGGACCCAAGTGCACGAGTTTTACTGGGAACTTCACACCTTTACTGGCTAAAGTGCGCAAATGGAAATTCACTCACCGACAAATGTGTGTCATTTCAGACACGGTTTTTATTGCAGAAAAAAATAATATTTTGGGTACTATTTGATAGTTGGTGTTTTTGATTCCGGTAAATCGTCCCCTTCTAACGCACGAGCATCGACTACTGTACGTAACAATTACATCAGCCATTCATAACATCAGCCCTACGCTGCTGTAAGCAGCACAATAAAGCAGCAGTGGCAGAAAAACTTCGGCCAAAAATAGAAAAGATGAAGAGGGGGATGAAAAAAAAAGGTACAAAGCGAGAAACGGTTGTGAAAAAAAAAAGTGAAAAATCAGCTCCGGCTGCAGTCGCTCCTCTCCTCCTTGACGCGGATAAATCGGGCGGCGCCAGTAAGTAAATCGGCGCCGGACTGCGGTATGGCGGGGCGGGGCAGGGCGGTGGACTAATTACGGGCTAAACGCACTGACACCGCTGTACGTCCCCCCCCTCCCCCTTTCTCCCCAACCGACCGTCTTTTTTAATTACAAACGGTCGCGGACGCCCGAGCCAAGCCCGGCCCCAGATAGACCCTCGCCAGCCTGGCCTTTCTCCCCCCTGGCCGCAGCCGCAGCAGCCCCTCGCCGGCCCGGGCGGGCCCTATGACGATGACAAATCGCCAATCGCGAGCAAAGAAGTGACTAATACAAAGCGAGCGCGCGATATTTTTCATTCTGTTCGGAGGTGCGAGACGCACGCGCGGATGCTGCACAAACACGGGCGCGAGAGCAGCCGTCGAATATTCATCTCGGAATCAAAGCCCCTCATCCGCGAGGGCAGGGGTGAAAGTTCCGCGGGGCGAATCGTCACCGCCCCCCTTCCCCCCGCACCGCCGTCATTCTGACTTTTACCCCCT